AAAAAAGAAAAAAGAAATGGCTGAAAGATGAAAAAGGAAACAGAAGAGAACAATAGTGAGGAAAGGAAAAAGAAACTAATAAAAACAGATGAAGAGGAATGGTGTCCCTCTATACCTTCTGTTTGAAAGGACACTGTCCAGCAAACAGCAGGTTCCAGACACTCCATCAGCAGCGCTTCCAGTTTTGGGGTCATTTGTGTTATGGCTCAGTCCTATACAGGATGGTGCCACTTGGTCCAGATCCAAGAAAGCACTTGGACTAATGTTCAGTTTTCAGTTTGCAAGCAGTTCCACTGAAGTCAAACTTCTCGTGACTTTAAAAGGTGAGCATTTACCTAACCTCGCTGTTGGATGAGTAGCAGGGAATAATACTGCTAATTACAAATCCCTAAATATCTCCATTCAGGTTGCAAAGGTATTTTTAAACACTTAATTAGGAGCAAGGGCTTTAAACAAGAAAGAATTAGTTTGGATCTGTTTTCTTAAAGTAATGAAATCATCAGCAAAACCCCTGCTCAAGCTGCTTTTTTCCTACGTTTTCAGCCATCTTTTCACTGTCAAGAGAGCCTGAAGCCTTTCAGAAGGCGCTAAAAAAAAAATAAAAGTAATAATAATTATCTATCCCAAGGCTTAAAATAAAAGCATGAGTAGTGTCAAATATTCATGTGCTCTGCACCTTCAGGTCTCTCATTTCCACTCTCCCATGATAACTTTACTGGACTGCCATCCTCTCGTTCTGGAGGACTCTTACTGCAGTAGGGTAAGAGCAATTTGAGAATTGGATGCAATGTGGACTGCAGCAAAGAAATCTAAACTCTGGATGAAGGAAATCTGCTCCCCTTTCACTATATCCCTCATACTTATATTGGCCCCTCACTCTGCAGTCTCTGGTTTTCATCTCTCTTAACATATAAGAACTTCTCCGTATTATAAGCAGTTCCTTAAGTAGTCCTGGGAGCAGATCAGTCTTCTGCTAGCTCAGCTAGAGCTGAATTGGAGGGAATGCACTTCAGCTCACGAAACAGCTTCTGCTATAAGCTTATGGGAACCAATTCCTGAGATTGCATATCCGATACAAAAGCCCTTTCATAAAGATTTTTATCTAACACGTTTAAACAGATCTCTTCATTCATCCTTGAATCAAGAATAAAAGCAATCTGATAAAAAAATATATAGGCAATATGCCAAAGCAGAAGCAATAATTCACTGGCCTTGAAATATAGTTCTTTTACTGGAAATATTACCGCGAGAAGGAGCGTGTGTCATCACAAAAGAAAGTCAGGTTTTAAGACACTTTTCAGAACAGGCTCCGTGTTTTGTTCTTTATTATCGATTCATAAATCTAGAATTTCTTGGCTGCCAGGAGATGGGCAAAGATCACTGAATGAGGACCTTATAAAATCGGTGTGACTTAGAAAATGAACGAAGATCAGAAATAATTTATTTCCACAGTACCACGGGCATTCCAAGCTGTTCCCCTTTAGCAACAGACGGTAGAAAGCTAAAACTAAAACCCAGAAACAGCCGTATATGAAACACCCTCAATCTTTCCATCCTTACCTTTGTTTCAATGAACCAACCAACATCCTACAGCCTGTCCTTAATAGACATTTCATCTTATTTGCTGCCCATTTTCAAACTATAGCCACAACGATTCTGACCTTACCCCTGAGAAAGTTCAGGGCAGTTACTTTTACCAAGTAAGCAAGCAGTCACCTTTTGGACAGAATTCAAGCATCAAAAATTTTAATTCCAAAAAAAAAAAACCAAACAGTATAACCATTTATGAATAACTGGAAACAGCCTGGTAGAATGGCAGTATAGCTATATTACATTGGCTGTAGCAAACTTCATTACTGCTCTGAAGACAATTTTGCTTTAAGGGGCATTATGTTGACTTGATGCGGATGTCCAAAGCCAAAGTTTGAGTCCCAGACTGTGCTTGCACTGTGGGCTGTGCCCTCGTGTGATTTATGTTAACCAATGATAGGCTGTAAAAAATTGGAATTCAAAAATGAGAACTGTTCCTGTCCCTCACTGAGTGCTCTGGGAGAGTGGATTCTTGCTCCTCCTTTACCCCTATTACTGCGTTTAATTGGCACATAAAAAACATGCTTACTTAAAGTTGAGAGTGTGGAGTGTCTCGTAGGGTCTGTATGCCTGGGAACTGTCACAACAAGATTGGTATCCAAACCAAATCATATTTGCATTATAATTGATGCAATCAAAACTCAACAAGAGACCAAGCATTATCTGCATGAAGGACAAGAAGGATGTCATATCACAGAAATATATTGCAAAAACTTTTCTTGACAATACAAAAGGAAGAGCAGAACTTTGCTAAAGCCCAAAGTCAAATAAGCTAGACCATGTTATTCAGAAGTTTTTCTGAATTTCACCCTGCATAACAGAAATGGCCATGTAACGTTTTTGGAGAATATAGATTTTTAGACCAAACCAAAACTCACCTTTTGCTTTTTTTTCTTTGATAGTAAAATGTGTTCTGAGATTATAAAAAACATAATTTGTTTTCACTCAATATTTACTCCACAGAAATGGAGAAAACTCCATGACAAGGGTTGGCTGCCATTAAAACATTTGCAGCAATGTAGATTCACTGCTTTCCCACACTGTGGTTTGTAAAACGAATTAAAAAAAAAAAAAGTCCTAGAGAGCAAATACTACAACTTATCATCAGAACAAGGGAAAATATGATTGAAGTGTAAGAACTGAATGATGAAGTAGCGTTTTTAAACACTATAATCCACAGGTTTTGTGTGTTTTTTTTTTCCCCTTAACTCAAAGGGGGAAATCTTTACAAGGTCATGTATGATTGAGAAGCAGCTTGTGTTCTGACACAGAACAAATGACAGTCCAGGTAATCCATTCTCACAATGGCTGTCAGATCGAATCCACACAATTCTCTTTTACATTGTTTATCCTTCTAACAACTAGTATAAGCTCAGTCAAGGGCCTTAATAAAGAGATGGTGTTCAGATCACCAGTCATAAAACTGAAAGTTTGTTAGCTACTTCAGCAACAATGCATGAGTGAAGAATTTATTGCTGCTGCAATCCATCAAAGAATGTCATAGAAACACAGAATCATTTGAGTTGGAAGCGACCCTTAAAGGCCATCTGGTCCAACTCCCCTGCAATGAACAGGCACACCTACGCTAGGTCAGGTGCTCAGTGTCCCTCCAGCCTGACCTTGAGAGTCACCAGCGACGGGGCAACTCACCACCTACCTCACTGGGCAACCTGTGCCAGTGTGTCATTGCCCTTATTGAATAAAACTTCTTCCATAGATCCAGTCCAAATTTCCTCTCTTTTAGTTTGAAACCAAGGAGACGGAGCTTCAGAGCAGCTCTCAGTAAGCGCAACTTACCAACTTCAATCAAGCCAAGGAGATTTTCATCTGCTGAAGAACTGGTCTGACCTGTATAATAAAGACTGCTGGGCACAATAAAAGCTCAAGGGCTGAAGCACTCTGAAATCCAAGCATCTAAGACGTACACATGAGGTAAAATTCTAATCCCAAAATTTCTGCAGATTTCCATAGATGTCAGCATGGCAGGAACTTTCCCAGTGGCAGAATGTAGGATAACCCATTGGCATCACTTGCAGCTACACTGATTTATTCCAGTTTAGGTCCTGTCCTTAAACTTAGGAGGTTGTGGAGTACACATTTGTGACCCAATCCATTATCGTGGCATGTAGAAATGATAGGAATAAAAGCAGCATAAATGAAGATATTATCATTTAAATAAAATGGAAGGCTGTTATTCTTTATGTTTGTTTCAGTTATCATTCATTTCTTACCTCACAGATACGAGCAAGCTATTGTTCAACTTCAGCTCTCTCAGATTAGGTAGATAGGCACCTATGGGATCAGAATAAAGAATCATCTTGCACACCTGGTGGTAGGATATAAGAAACTTCTGACAATTACAAGTTGAAGCATCTTATTTTACCTACATTTCTCATTTCTTCCTGTCACATCTGTGCCGGACTTCTAAGAAAATTAATGAAGTGATTTCACTTAGAAAATATTACACCCTTTGCATATTTGCAACATATACGTAGTGTCTGCTTGACAGACTAATTATATTTTTGAAAACCCCCTCTGACAACCCTGATAGAGCACGTTTCCAAAAAGGCAACAAAACCTGGCTTCATGGCGACTGCTTTCTTTGTTCTGATTGATAATCCATATTGACTATCAACTGAGTGATAACTCAAACAGCTGAAGATCAAGAACACTTTAGATCATAGCAGTCCATGGATATAAGCCCCTGGCACAGGAAACATTTGCTACTGACAACAGCAAACTTGCCCGTTCCCACCAGCAGATTTTACCCGTGGCAAGAATCCTCAAGTATGATGTATCACCATGGAGAGGTAGCATGAATTTTAGGCAGACTGGATCACTAAGACCAAGACACTAAAACCTGTTCTCAACAGTAATCTCTTTGGCAAAGGATAATTTAGCATGACATTCTAGCTATCCAGCTCTTTGCAAAGGATCAAAAAAGGAATTTGAATTTATTTAAAAAAAAAAAAAAAAAAAAAAAAAAAAAGGGAGTGGAATCTCACAAGCAAACAAAGAAAACCATGCTGTTTATTCCATTTCCCCAAATAGTGTTTATGGCAAAAACATTTTAATAAATCACGTTTCAGAAGAAGCATTATCTTCATCTAATGCTGTTTGGGAGTGATTATAATCCACATATTGAATTTCATGCTATACTGCAAATCTTTAATGTCATTTGTTTGTAAAGCTCTTTAGAAAATACTAAAAGCTCACTGTGCATTTCTTTTAGTCTTATTTTTAATAATTTTCCATAACACATAAAAATTATACCACAAATTACAAACACACCATCCTCATCCTGCAAGGCACACATTTTCATGTCAAATTTTATAAAATATAGCAAAAAAACCCCCAAACTTCAGAGTCCCAACAGGGGAGATACCACTATCTCAGTTAATTATTCACAGCAGTCATAAGTGCTACTGAGCAAAGACTTCTGCAGACATAAAATCCATGTGCTAAGACAGACCCCAAGGGGAAAAAAAAAAAAAAAAAAAAAAAACCACCCAGCAAAATGTAGATGATTAAAAAAAATACTATTTTGTTCCTGATAAGAAACCTGAGGCATTAAGAAGCAAACAGGCTTTAAAAGTCAAAGTCTGAGAAGAAGATGAATTGAAATGAGTCTTGTTCAAAAGAAAACTTTCTACTGAACACATTTGGGGTTGGTTCAGGAAAAATATGCTATTAAAGGATTCAAGGAGGCCATGGGGTGTGGCAGCCAGTGTTACAGGCTGAAGACATAATTTTCACATCTGGTTATTTCATTACTGTAACAGAATCCTCCATCGCGAACATTTTGTTGTATTTTGGCACCATTGACCCCCGGGCTCTGTAGTAAGTTAAAAAGAAGCGAATGCTGCGTGCAGCAGTGTGATAATCTGCCTGGAGGATTTTAATGAAGTATTTCTCTAAAAAGCTTATGATCGCAGTTCTGGTCTGATTGAGAACTGAGAGCAGCATGCAGTGTTCTCTCTTCTGTCTTTGACTCCCTTTTACTAAGTAGCCTCTTTGTAGAATCATAGGTTGGAAAAGATCACTAAGATCATCTCACCCAACCATCAACCCATCCCCACCATGGCCACTGACCCATGAGTCTCAGGGCCATTCCTTGCAACAGTGCATGAGTGCTAAATTCTTCTGCTGTCCTACTCCAGTGGAAAAAAAAAAAAGCTAAATTAATAGTAGAAAGAAATAAAAATGTAAGGTAGGTGCTTATATCTGATTTTTTTTTTTAATAAACTTGAAATCAAAATAGGACTCAGAATGAAAATATTTTCATGTAAATGTTAGTTTGGCCCTCCAAAGCAACACGCATTTATAGGGAAAAGCCTGACTGCTATAAAATGAGCATTCCCCTGCAAGCACCTACTTTGGAGCTGCTTGCTTTAGAGAAACAGGCTGCATTTTTCAGATTACTAGCTCCATTTCTGGATAAAAAAAATATACACATACATTCAGCTACATTGCCTTAAGTGCTGAACTTCATGAGCAGAGTAGCAATGCGGGTCTCATTCTGAGCTGCCTTGGTATAGCAGATGACATTTACATAACTCACTAGCACTAAAGAGAAAGCAGGCAAGGTGCTGGCTTTATTATATTCTAAAAGCCACAGTATCTGTATTAATTACATTTGTTGTTTATATAGTAATGCAGTATCTGCAGACAAACCCAAGATAGCTGTCATCTAGCTACCCGAGGTCATATCTCACAAAAAGACAGAGTTTAACATAAATCCCCTGCTGAAGTATTTCTAATTGCTGGAGAGGTTGCCCAAGACCTGCTGCACTCCTTGCTGTTGTGTCTTCTCAGTGAAGTTTGTTCATACCAGCTAAATTACCAGGCTGGTCAGAGAGGTGCTGGATGTCCCTGGAGACACTCGAGGTCAGGCTGGAGGGGCTGTGAGCACCTGATCTATCCTAAGTGTCCCTGTTCATTGCATGAAAGTTGGATCAGATGGCCTTCAGAAGTCCCTTCCAACTCAAACCATTCTATGATTCTATGAATTAAAGGCAGGTTAGGAAGGCACGTGTTGGAGAGCAAATGTCTTTTGCCTTTGCTTCTTACAAAGAAATACTGACAAACAGAGCAGAAGCAAACAGATCAACCGGTATGAAAAACAACATATGCCTACTTCTGAACCTTTGGCAGAGCTTTTCCTTGATAAAATGCTTTCTGCCGAGCAGCAGTGCAGTGCTGCAAAGTCCCCATGCAGCAAACAGCTGCCTCACCAAAGAGAAGCAACAGTCTCCAGACACATAATCAACTTAGACTGGCTGCCAGAAGGCAACAATTGAATAAGAACCAGAGAAGAGCATTGTGGGTAACTTGATTTGTAGCTATTAAAATCACTTAGAAATAAGAGAACTATGTAGTGTCTTAAATGACTATATCCAACCATTACTTTCAGCAGGGATTTCTACAAACCGGTCATCAAAATGGCCCCAGATCTGTCAGCAATCAAAACTGAAGGGATAAGCTAATAAAAAGGAAATAGTCCATCTGCTCAAATATAAACTGAAGCCTACACACAGTAATAGAGAACAAAAGTAAATCCAAATTCCGCAGAGCTGGATATAAGACTTGCCAGTGAGGTTCAGTGCTTTGCCTGTCATTCAGCAAGGTGCAGTGAGAACATACAGCTACAGATTTCAGCAGCTATCCTGCATCCCACAAAGACACTCAAACTCAAGTTCTGGCATGAAGCTTTTCATTATTCTAATACCGATCACAGGAAAACATTTTAACATTGGTCTTTTAGTGTTTAAGCCTCCACCCTGTCCCTAAGAAATACAACTATTCCTTCCCCCTATATAAAACCTCTGTGTAAAGGCTGTCCTGACAAACTGGGAAAGGGTGAAACGCAGTGCTTCCAAGTTCAGCCCAAAGTACAATGCTAATAAAAAAACTCTAAGTGTTTAAAACCACTCTGGAAATTTTGCTAAGAAGATGCAGGATCTCAATGCTTGTGATATACTCACAACCTCTCCAGATATCTCTATTGCTCGTCACAGCAGAAAAGCTTTCCCTTCTGTCAGGCTCGAACTTCCCTCATTGCGGTTGGTCTGTTCCTTACTCCACTCACTCCACTTATCTAGCTCCCTGTGAACAGGAACCTGTTTGGCAGTGCACTGATTCAGGGGAGATAGCTGGCACAAAGTCAGCCTTGCTTACACCACTCAAACTGAAGGTGCAAACTGTCCTGTCACACCCCTTGATGTTTCATTACTCTCAAAAGCAGTGGGGATCTGCAGCTGCTGTTTTTTTACAGCCCCTAAAGTCCAACTCCTGGTTCAAAGTGGGACATAAGATGGAAATCGTTTGCAATGTGGGAACAGTGCTCTGTATTTGTAAAAGCTGCAAAAACTTACTCAAAGAAAGCAGAAGTAAAGGGATTTATTCCTGTAATGGGAAGGAAAGGGAAGTGCAGAGGATGTGTGAGAAAAGAGAGATTTAAATTAACTTGTAAATTAACTTGTTCTGCTCTAACAACACTTCACAAATCCTACAAGATTAAGTGCAGCATTTCTGTATGAGCATGTGAGGAATAAAGGACAGTGAGGTAAAGTTCAAAAGAGGAAATGGAAGGGACTACATGTTTAAGATAATACCACAGTACAGAAGTTACAGATAAGGTAAGACTTTTTGCTAGCTTGTCATAGCTAATGCATAATGGCATGGGAATGGGAACACCGCTTTGGAGCACTGGTAGAAATGGTGTAATAAGATTTTCTTATCAACCAGAGGAAACAAGACTGAATAGATTATATACTCTGAAAGAAACAGATGCAATTTGACTTAAATTACCAAAATGTCCATCAAAAATAAACCTGTCTGCAAAATAAACTGAATAATCAATACACATCATAGAATCACAGAATCATTCAGGTTGGTAAAGATTTCTAAGATCATCCAACTGTCCACCTACCACCAATGTTGCCCACTAAATCATATTCCTTACTACCACATCTGCATGTTTATTGAGCACCTACAGGGACAGTGACTCCACCACCTCCCTGGGCAGCCTGTGCCAGTGTAATCCTTTGGAGAATTATTTCCTAACACCCAACCTGAACCTTCCCTAGTGGAACTTGAGGCAATCCATAAAATGGCTGTGAAGTTCAAAACAAAAGCCCCCTTCATATACTTCCTTTAACTATTCTTGATATCAGAAGGCCCAAAGATATTGGACTGGCTATTACATTATTGTCACTTGCACACCTTGGTGCTCTGCACAGGAACTGCTTGTCTGAAAATACCAGCACCAGCTTTTGGGGGTGCAACTCCCTTTGGTACATAAAATACTGCCCTGCAATAGTTAGCTTCAGTGAAGACAAAGATGGACTTGGCTGTGACAGGAGCACACAGGTTGCTTTCAGAAATGCCTTCCAGCACTGGAAGAAAGGAATGTTGCACGCTCTCAGTGTTGACACTGCTACTGAAGAAATTCCTTCACTACTTCCTTACTTCTCTTGAGCAGAGATGATGACACAGAGGTGAATTACAAGCATTCAGAGCCTCCTGGGGCTCGTCAAGCGATGCATCTAGAGGAGCTTCCTCAAGCTCATTCTCCAACACAGCTTGATGAGGCAGCACAGGAAGCAAATGCAGGAGACTGGCAGCATTGGCAGCCTGATACCACTAGTGATTTCCCAGCCACAGGGGAATCTTTCAGCGGAGACAAACTGAACTTTGGCTACTCTGTCTCACTACAATAGCATCAAATACTCTAGAGGGCAACTTAATCAGTAAATGCTCCTTTAAGTCCTTGAGGCATGTCATGAGGAATCTTTCAAATTAATTTGGCATTAGACAGAAGTCACAGATTGGTTTAGGTTGGGGGGGCCTTAATGATCATCGAGCTGTATCCTTCTGCCATTGGCAGGGCTGCCACCCACCAGATCAGGCTTCCCAGGGCATCACCCAACCTGGCTTTCAATTCCTCCAGGGATGGGGCATCCACAGCTTCTCTGGGCAATCTGTTCCAGCGTCTCACCAGTACTTCTCTTTGTCCTATCACTTATCATATCATGTAAAAAGTCAGCCACCCTCCTGCTTGTAGCCTCCCTTCAAGTACTGGAAGGCCACAATGAGGTCTACTTGGAGCCTTCCCTTCTCTGAGCTAAACAAGCCCAGCTCCATCAACCTTTCTTCATAGGAGAGGTGCTCCAGCCCTTTGAGCATCTTTATAGCCCTAAATGGTGTCACCTATCCATTGCTGTAGCGTTCATTCTTAGAGTCTCACAGAAGAAAACAGTAATCAAGAAATGAGAGATACCAGGAAGAATATGTTTCAAGAGCTCTCAAGCACAGTAGTGCTTTACATTTACATACAGCTTCCAATTCCCCAGTCCTGATAAAATACAATAAGGGAAAATTTGAGAAAGAATTGTTTTCTTACCAAAGTTCCCCAAGCTGCTCTCTCTTGTATCTACTTGCATCTCCAGGGCCTTTACTTGCTGCAGGTCATCCATCCCTGTCAAAGCTTTCTGTAAAAATAAGCAGGGATATATATATATATATTCTCACACAATGAGCCAGATGATACAGGAACAAAAAGGTGTAGAAAGGTTTTCAACCAGTGCTATGTCAGCAAGTAGTCCAGGTCAAAACAGCCAGACATATGATAACATTAAAATAAATCCACTATTCAAAGAGCTTTCTTTCTAGCAGCTCTGAATTGTTTCAGCTTCATGTAACTTCTACAGTGCTCACAAAGTCAAGGCGGGGCACTACATTCAAGTTGCAAATCAACAAAAGATTACATGCCAATTAACTTCATTTAAACAACATGCCCACACTGTAAGATTTGTGTGATATTTTACTAATCCTCAGAAGATAAGAAACGGTACCCTTGGTGTCACCAGTGATCAAAAAGGTGCTAGACAGTAAAACTCAATAAAACACAGTGCTTAGCTTTTAAATCCAAAACTACCAAAAAGAAAACAAGATTTCAGCTCAAGACAATCATAATATGATTGCATTTCTCAAGGCACACAACACTAATTGCAAGAATTACAAATTTCTTCGAAAAGAACTAATCAATACCAAAGGAGGTCTCCAAAACCTTTCATTATTTCTGCAAAATCTCTGTGATGGGGTCAACCACTGTATTAAGCAAGGGTGTGTGTGTGTACAAGCAGCTATCACAGGTTCTTTCCTTAAATATCTGGAAATTGGCATTGATACATTCATGCAGATTTTGCTCTGCCTTTCACCACTCTATTTAACATGAAGGAACAAAGTCACTCAATGACATCTACGTGTAGGAAATAAGTTTTCTTACAACTAGAAACTCAGAACACACTATAGTTTGTTTTCCTTTGGAGGTTAACACTTATATAGGGGAAATGATTCATTAGAAGGGAATTTGTGTAGGATCACCTCTGTACAGGAGTTTTTGAGGGGAAGAATAGCCACAAGAACATCTAGTTCACTTCTGTAGGGAAAAACAGTAGTGGCAACATTCCCACTCATCAAGTAGAATTCATACTGCTCACAATTGATCAGTTTCATTCACTCTAATGGCTCTACACTCTCTAACAAACAAGGGACCAAAACACTCTAACTGGAACTGAGATGACAACTTACAAGGGCATCGTATCAAGACCACGGTTGATGAAACAGCTGAGCATCACTCTTTAAAAAAAAAAAACCTCACACCCTGCGTAAGGCTTTGAGTTAGATTCCTCAGAAACAGAATTATCCAAAGTCTTCACCTGCTTTCCAATCACCTTTCAGAAACTGTGCTTAAAATTATTGTTAATCTGAACTTTTAACTGATTTTAAGCTTCTGGCCTTCCTTGCCTTTACAGTAAGGCATGATAAACAAAGATCTAAGGCAAAAATACCCCAGACCTCAGCGGCATCCAGGAGTATGCTTTCTAACCCCAGACACAGACTGCAGAAGAACTGTTTTGCTCCTTCAAAGGCAGCAAGCATGCCTACTATGGACGGCTTTCTTCCCCAAGTAAACATAAGGTCCTTTACTACAATCCGTATTTTGCAGTCATCCTTTTCAGCAGACAACACTATTTGTCAGGTAGCATGAGAGCACGTGAGAAATGAGAGCTAGCTGACATCCTGGCACACATCCACACACTCAAATTGCTGGGTTTGGATGCAATCTCATTGTTATGAAAGGCAACTCCTTCTGACAAATACCTCCCTCGTCCATGTCAAAATAGCCTCAATAGCCCACTTTATTAAAAGACTGAATAGAAAGTGGTTCCAGAACAATAACCTTTGGGACATGCACTTTATCAGTAAAGCAGCAGAAGGCCCTGGCGCCATGCAGAGCCTTTGCCTTTCTCCATTGCTCCCTTCAAACTATCCTTCCCCTCACCATATCCCAGACAGCCTCCTTTCACTACTCTGACCACAAGAGATGCACTTCTGCTCCTTGTCCTCCTCTTTCAGAATCAAAGAATAAAAGCCACACAAGGTTATATTTTCCTCTTCTAGATTTCCCTATTCTTTCTCTTCCCATATGGGGCTACCAGACTTTGTTCTCCTTTTCCTCTTCCAGATCCACCATTTGTTCTTTTCCCCCAGCTGAGAGATGAGCCACTTAATTCACCAACATTTTGTGCTGCAACAAGCAGAGTTGTGGCCCCAGCACTGTATAAGGTTGTTAACTGCCACTTCTGGCTCTTTGAACTATAGATAGCTGCTTGAAGCACGTGTTAAACAAATGCACCAGACCCCATCTGTTCATAGTTCCCACTTCCCTATGCCACTTTTCCAACAATCACCAGGAAAAGCACACTTTTTCCTGCTGATGGAGTTCTTCGAGAGTTTGAAACTGACAGGCTGTGGAATGCAAAAGCCATCATACTATGTGAAAGTAACACAAAATGAGGATATGAGCTCATTACAAAGGCTCTAGAAGCACAAGGAGCCCAGGTGTGGCTGAGAGCTGGTTAGCAAGCAAAGGGTCAGGGCAGAAGAAGGTTCCTAGGGAGAACAGCTGGGACACTCCTACTCCCTAGGCACCTTTCCTAGCATAGTGGTGCAGACGGAGGGGGTCTCAGAAGTCACAACCACAATTCTGGCACCAAGAAAGGAGGGAGTAAAGGAAGGACATGGAAGCATTTAAAATAAGATGATAATAAGGACCTTCCTTTTACATTGCTGTTTGATATCAATGCACAGGAACCTTCAGCAAAGTTTAAAAGGAGGGATACACAGAAGGAATTTGACTGCTGTTAGGCTGTTAAAAAAAAATCAAAGTGAAACACACTGCCAAGGATGATCAGATTGGACAGAGGGACGTCTGGCACCGTGTGAGTGACAAGCTGTGCTAAGGCACTATGCAGCCCTTCACTCCAAGGTTGTGCCAGCTCTAGGACAAGCTCCTGCCCTAGTTCAGGAGTGCCATTGTGGTGTCAAGTAATGGCTGTCTGCCAAAACTCAAAAGGCTGTGCTGGCAGCCAGAGACGGGACTCCTGCCCGTGCCCCAGGAACGCTTAAGCCATGAAGGTGCTGTGCCATCTAGGGTTTCCTTCTGTTGTTTACAGCTGTAAAGCTTACAAAAAGAGACCAAGGATCTCTTGGAGGCAGAGCTGGATTTACATCAGAAAGATGACCTGAAAAAGCTAATTATAATTCCAGGTTGACTGCTGGTTTCCAGAGAGGATTCTGCCTGCCACCTACCCACTGAGGTGGGTACTGGTTAGATAGAGGAGGCAGATGTTTTCTGAAGAATCAAACAGCAAAATCTTTCTTGCACATGATGTTCAAGAATGTCGTCTGACAATCTTAAACCTTCTTATTTGGAAGAATAAATTCCTATGGAAAAGCACTACACAATTCCTTGAAGAATTAGTGATAAGTAAAAAAAAGACAGCCAAAGTTCATTTTGTTTTTACACCTCCTTTGAAAAAAACTTTTTTTCACGAGATCATGCAAAAAACTATTGGCAGCTAGTTTAGCCAGTAGTTTAAGAAGCAACTCTATAACAGCTCACAAAGCACTCCCATCATGCAAAACGTCTGGCCAACACCTAACTGAAGAGCATGTGCCCATCTGGAAAGCTTCTTGTCAGTCAAAAGAGAAAAGCCACAAGCATTCTATACAAAACTGCAAGTGCAATGCTTTTCTGTTCGTAGAGCTTCCCTACCTGGGAATGCTGGGAAAGTCACCTGGGGATACTGGGAAATCCGGTTTGAGTCCCACCTGCAACTCCCCGTGAATTCCTTAATTGGAAATAGTATCTGTGCAATTAAAGCTGGTGCACACAACTGATTTCTAGCTCCTCGCTGGATTTTTCACATGCTCCAAGAAAAGCAGAGCAGTTGCTGAAAAGCATGTTGCACACAGCTGCCTGAGAAGCGTTTCCAGCTGTGCGCTCATTTTGCTGATGCTGGTTAATTTGGCTAGCACAGGAATTCCTGAGCAGTGAGCTTATTTTCTTCTAATACCACACCTGTATGCAAATATCATTTTCATGTCTATTCATGCGTTCACTGCTTTTCACGGGGATTTTATTTCAGATTCCCAACCCAAGAATCATCTCCCCCTGCACAGGAAAATAACGCTGCTGCAAGTGTGACAACTCCTATTTTTTCTAAGAAGAAGATTACAAGAACATTAACAAGGTTTGAAGTACTGGGATCTTCTCGGCTGGTATGAAAACAACAGTGAAGAAACGACTGAAGTTTAAATGGAACTGGATACTTCAGCAAAGATGCCTTTTTTCTCATGCTAAAGCTCCAAGTCACACTAACAGTTCTACATGCACAGGTCCCAGTTTTGTCTCATCATCACTGGCTCAGCTCCTTGCTGACCCATCCTGGGGATTCAAAGCACCGACGCTTTTCCTTTCTCAATTGCTAACCAGGATCTGATGCTACAGGCTGCTAAGAGCTCTCTCTTACTATCATAAGCTTCAAAGGAAATGTGGGGCTTGGAACTATATGGGAGGTTTGGTGATTTCTCAGAAATAGCCTGTATCATTCCTACAGGAAGAAACACAAGCTCAGGTCCAACTCTCCTGAATTAATATGCACAATATCATAAATACACCAATTTTTGCTTCAGACTTACATTTCCCACACACAGGCATACAAAATATACCACAGTATGAATTCCTATTCCTAATCTAACAGCTAGGTGCAGAGTAAGTGGCTGCATTTCAACATTGTGTCACTAAACACAATTCAAGACTATTAAGTTAGTTAAGCAGCTGTTACTATATGCAAATGAAAATCTGTTTTTAATAAAAGGCATACATATGTGTGTAAGTATATGCATATAAATATATTCCTGACATGAAAATTTGAACATAAAACATCAGGTGTTTATGTAGCAGGATATATATAAGCTTTCACTGGAGTAAAGGTTTTAATATTAGGATAAGAACATATCAAAGGAAAGCTCTGAAAGTAAATGAGGCTTTGTAACTACTTTCCTATTCACAGTATGCTTACTGCTATCTGTCATCTCAAGCAATCTGATCTAATGCAGAAACTAGCTGTGCTTTCAATAGAAGATTGAACTAGAAGACCTCCAGAGGTCCCTTTGAACTTCTTTGGTTTTAAATCATTATAAACGGTTACCCAATTCTAGGCAAGGAATCAGAAGACCCAAATTAAATCAGTTATGCCCATCTCCTGACTCCACATATCACAGATTATCAAGATTTTGCACCTGCTCCCTTGATCTCCAGTTTCTTCTCAGATTTATACAATTCACAACCATGAGGAAAACTTTCTGCCAAGCAAAAAAGGAAGCGATTGAGACATTTCAGTGTGAATCCAATCTGTTGTTCCAGGACCCTCCAAGATTTTCTTCTCCCCACGAGAACAAGTGCATACCATATGAAACATACCCTACAACAAAACTAAACACCACTTCCGAACACGTGTTCCCAAGTTTAGAAAGCATCATTTCTTGGAGCAGGATCAATAAACAGTGCAATGAGATGAACGTTGCCTTTCTTCTCTGAAGACCACATACAAATAATGGTGATAACAAAAGCTGAGGAACTGATTAGTTTTGAGAAAGCGACAATGTCTGGAAGATCATTTGTAAAATGAGTTTGTTCTGTGAATTTTATTGCTTGTTGTGCAAGTCAGAAAGAGGTTTTGTTTCCAAAATGCACCCCGGAGCCGGGGGGGGCGCCCCCCTCAATGAGTAAGAACTGGATTAAAGAAAGGTGACACTCTGAATTTCAGGTCCACTTATTTAACGGTAAATCTGTATTCCCCATTAAAATCTAGTTTTCAGAATAAAGGGAGAATGGGGAAGAATTTGTTCATGTTAACACTCTATAGCATATGACAACACATAAGCACAACACAAGCAAAGCCAAAGAACAGAGCTGAAAACATTAAACAGGACATGTAAAAATGGAAAAGCAAAGATTATCTATTGATGCAGATGAAGATTAAAGGGCATAACAGAAAATTGCTATCGATACTAGTGGAAAGAATAAAAAGACCAGTGAATGATACCAGCCCTAGCATCAAACACTTTCAACCTGTAGCTTAGATGAAGAGTAATCAAATGCAAAAGGACAAAGTGTGACATTACAGCAGGAGAGATTCTAGAAAGCAAAGAATAAAACACTGAAGATGATATTCACCTGAGCAGAATATGGAATCACAAAGGATTTCAAAGTGAACATTATGCTGGAATGAGGTCATAGAAAACCACAAAGCCTATAGAGAACAAGCATAAGATTTAAGCAAGGTGATAGTCTGATGTGAAGAGGAAGAGAATAGCAAGGGAGAGTTTTGGAGCAGTTGTCTGTCTCTTGTGCTATGGAGTTCAATAAGGAACAATGGTAAAAAAAAAAAACAAAATCAAAAAAGCAAGGTAGGGAAAAATAATAAGAAAGAGGAAATCATTTTTAGGCCAAATTCTCCTCTCTTTTGCAGGAAAAGAATTGTCAGGCAACTGGAGAAAATGTGATGGAATATGTACATTATATCTTTTTGAGAGTCCTTAGTAATGGAGACTGCTAATGGAGAGTGATGATTTTGTTAGTGAATGGAGACTGTGATCTCTCCGGAAAAAGGGCAAATGCACGGATTCAGACAAGCTTGCAGGCTGCAATGCAAGGCACCCAATCTTTAAAGGTTCTGTACAGCTAGACCTTCAAGGCTTCCCCACACAAAAACAAACAAACAAAAAAAAAAAAAACACAACAAAAAAACTGCAAGGGCAAGGAGTAAAACTGAATACATATGTTGGAACAAAGAAAAAACGTATCTTGGAAAAATTCTCCTCAGTAATCAGGTGTCAGAAATCTGTACAACACTGCAGAACTGGGGCCTATGTCCTTACCTTTATAGTATAACTTTAATAAGCTTGTATTTTAAAAACCTGTTCGTTCCTTCTTAGAGCCCTTCAGTGAATACAACTAATAACTTCTAAAATATCACAGCTATTAAAAGACTAGCAAGAAGACATCGCAAGTGTGTTGCTTCAAGCAGAAGAACCTTTCAGACCCCTTGGTTATCAATGGCATGTGGTTCCTATACAAATAGGCACGTGATTGTTCTTCAGACTGAAGTGGTTGGACAGTATACCTATTTTTGTGTTTCAAAAAGCAGAACTGAATCCATGGAAGCAGCAATTTCAGTTTGATCAGTGTAAAGGTCAAATAATAAATAAATTGGATATGTTATTAAAACAAGCCATAAGCACTGTTAATGTTTCCTTGACAATGTCATATAGTTTTTCCTCTCAACAGGAAGTATCTCAGCTATGCCAACACAAATGTCAGCTTCCAGAGCCAGGAGATAACTGCATCCAGAAAAATTAGTAGGACAGCATGCATCCATTTAAAAGAGTGAATTCCTTACAAATGTTACTGCACATGATCTAAGAGTGGCAAGAGTCAATTAAGATCAAGAATTCATTTATTATATACATTATAAAGCTTTTCTTCCATTACTGAGAAAAATCTGGAACTGCTGGAAAATTTAACTTCTGATCTGTATAAAAAAATAAAATACAACAAAACAATGAAATGCAGTTTCTTGGGATATGGGTAGCATTGCCTTTCTGCCTATAACTGATCATGAACTAAAAGGTTCAGAAAGAGAAAAAAAACATACCAACTAAAGAGCTTTCTAGGGGCTTCATTCAGAGTTTATTGAAATCAAAGGGCAGCTGTTTTGATTGCTCTAATGGGCTTCATTTCATATCCTAAGATAACAGACTAATCTGTGAGCTTCCCATTGGGCTTATAAAGGGTACAGTATGCCACAAACATATTACTCCGGTCAAATTCCATATCAGGCTTTAAAAAAAGACTAATAAGTTGTCAGTGGTCGACAGGAACCAAAGGAAAGTAAATGGGGTAGATCACAAGGCCACATATCAAACTTTATTTCCAGAAAGTTTAAAATATACCCTCTGCAGAAAGTGATGTTCTTGGGAGAAGACTTGGGTACCACTGGAAGAGACATTCTGAGAACAAGTAGCTACCGAGGCTCCTGTGCATGGTCAAAACAGTGGTTGGCATATATTGAGAAAATCATGTAAACCTGCAGTCCAATGTGAGCTGGAACATGGCCCCTGCAGAACGTGAATGCACAGGGGATTACAGATGTGGAACACTGTCCTGCTCTCTGGGAGCATCTGAAGCACAGCTTTGCCCCCAGCTGTCTTCCACAGACTCCTACGCAGCTCTGTAACACAGAAAGCTGCACCTTCCTCCTAACTTCTGCTCCTAGCTCTGTTTCCCTCCAGCAGGAATAAGTGAGCTTATTTTCCCAGCTCTTAGCTCCCAAGGGATTTTACTCTTAATTAGTATTGAGCAAATATAGCACAATATACAACCAAGATCTCCTTCGCTGGAGATTTCAGCATGTTACTCTCATTCAAGAAGCTGCATGCCAAAAATCGCTTCCCTCTGGTCAAAAAGGGACACGGCTTTCAAAAGTGCTTTGAAAACTCACACTTTGATAAATGGAGGAAGTATTTATAACGCTTGCAGAATATTTTAGTTGGCTTCTTAGGAAGACAGAGGATTTCACTAATTCAGAACAAAAGTTAAGCTTTTTAAGTTATACTTTCAATCCATAGAAAAGGTTCATGTAAAAAGCTTTTTCTAATGCTAAGATTCAAGGTACTTCAGAAAGCTTTAATGAGATCTCTTTTAAATTATAATTACATTACCCCATGCACTTCACGCTGCTTCAAGAAAGTTGACAATAAAGACAGCAGCATTCACGTTGGCCATATTTTTGATATGAAACAAGGTGAAAGGACAAACATCTGATAAATTTCCTTAAGACAGAATTCATTTTATGCAGAAGCCTAGCTGCCAGATATTCAATGCAACAATCTGCAATCATCACAAGGGCTGCTGGAAGGTTAAGCTAATACAGCACTTTATATGCCAGTTTCCTTCTTCTACTTCATTAAAAAGTTGGATATCAACTCACCAGTTTCCTGGGGGAAAGGTATTCATCCATAAGTAGTTCTCCATCATCTTTAATCAGTGGACTGGGATTTAGGTTACCTCGCCAACTCAAGTCAGTCACCCGAACTGTAGCTGAGGCTGGACGAGAAGCTCTGCCAGGATTCCACTTCAGGTCCTTCTTCATATGCTTTGGACAAAAGGATAATAAATAGTCTGATTTTTTTTCCCTATGTTTATTATTTTCCCTTCAGCAAAAAATAATTTGACTCCTGGTGCAAGCTAGCAAGTAGCTATAAAGACAAAGGTTTTCCTAACCAGAAAAAAATAAAAAAAAGATCAGCGCAATGCATCACGTAACATGCATTCTTCCTTTTCTTCATCTTCTAGAGCTAGTCATAGAATCAGAATAGTTGGAAAAGACCTCTAAGATCATCTAGTCCAACTGTCCATTAACCACAAAGACTGCACACTAAACCGCATCCTTAAGTACCACATCTCCATGGCTCCTGAACACCTCCAGGGGCAGTGACTCCACTACCTCCCCATGGAATCTACTCCAACACTTCACCACTCTTTCTGAGAAGCCTTTCTAATATCCAGCCTGAACATCTGCCAATTCAACTTGAGGCCATTCACTCTCATTCTCTCGATGCTACCTGGGAGAAGAGGCCAATCTCAACCTCACCACAACCTCCTGTCAGGTTGTTACAGAGGGCAATTAGGTCTCCCCCAAGCCTCCTCCAGACAGAACAATACCAGTTCCCTCAGCCACTCCTCATGAGGCTTGATGGAATCAAGTGTAAGACTTGACAGCCCTACCTCTATCAACTTACACTCTAGGCTTTTACAGCTGCACACCAATGGCTTTGTACAAGTTACTCAAGAACAGTAAACTCAGGACACTAATCCTCTCCAGTCTTCCCATTACTCTCCTTGCCCTTCTCTGGTAGCTGAGAACTTCCCATTCAAACCAGTCTGCTTTTTACCCATATAGAAACTATCCTTATAGAAACTCAACTCACAGCAAAACTCTGCTGGGCTTCAGGGTTGAAGCGTGAGCATCAAGAGACATTGCTGCTTTTCTCCAGTCTCTGCCCCAAGGCAGCACGTATAGCAGCTGTATACATTTCCTGTCCTAAATTAAACATACTTGCACTGTTACTGACCGCCTACTGGATCATTCAGGCCACATACTGACTGTCAGTTCTGACAGAAGTCTTTGGAAAATTAAAATATAATTTAAACAGATCTGCTTGTGAGCTAGGTGAGGAATCAAATCCAGATTTTAAAGACAAAACGCTTCAGAAGTGTGCATTCTTCAATTTCCAAATCTATTCCTTTTACAGAAATATTAACAACTAACTTTGAAATACAAGAATAAGCACACGCCTACCAATTGCAGACAACAAGCAATCAGTTGTACCCAAATGGTACAAGCATCACTATGATTTATACAGCCATTTACTTCTACTTGGCAGCAATGAAGCATCACAGCTGGAAACGTTGCTGTATCAACAATAGGCTAGACTAGAGAAAAGCCTTCTCACTCGGCCATCAAACACCTGCAGCTTTCTCTGGTTCTCCACTGTGAGGCAATACCCATTCTTAGTGCTGGAAAAGTAATTAAATAATCAAGGTAATCATAACTGGCTGATAAAGCTTCACTGGCAGCTCAGACCTACCTTCACCTTCATACTAATAAATAGTTAAACGTGGAAGTAATTTCAGGCAGGAAAAACAGAAGAAACTGACTGCTCAGCTGGCAATTTCTATTCAAGAAGAGAGGCTGGTGAGAGAGGTTTACATCAAAGGAACTCCTCATCTCCTCTTACTGCTCACATACAGTCAAAAGTCTTCATCTCGGCACAGGCAGGGGAAACATGAAAGACTCAGAGCAGCCAAAGAGAACAGCAGCTTCCCATTAAGAAGAAAATGGATCTCCCAGTACCAGACGTCTTAGCTTTTGGGAAAAAAATACCTAGCCTATTCATTTCTAACACCTGCTTCTTTCTCCAAATAATTCCAGAATTTCTAGGGTCCTTTCCTGTATGTTCCTTGGAGCGGGTCTTTATGATTTAGTCATTATATTGAGTTGTAACAATCATCCAAGGAAATTAAAAAAAAAAAAAAAACTTACATGATACAGAGGTCTTCTGGTGCTGACTCTATTTTTCTGATATTGCTTTTGCTCAAGAACTGACTTGGATTAGAGTATCTGCTGAACAAACACTGAAATACTTGCCAATTATAAAAGATTTGTTTGGGATCATGTGTAATACTGTTGATTCCTTCTAATTGAAGCAAGTATCATTCTTACCCAGAGATAATCCTGCATGTTACTGGAGCCAGGTGGATCAATACTCAGAAATTACTGATGTAACACCTGAGTACAAAATGCACGTAACAGCAAGACTGTGTAGATTAGGGCTGTAAAGAGTTAATACACTTGCATAAGACAAATTATTGTTCTCCTTCCTTCAGTCCATTGCTATTACACTTCAGAATGCTCTCCTATCTCTGAAATATGTGTTGATACAGCACTTATTTATGGTTTGACAAGCAGATCAATTTGTGGCTGAAGACCTGAAGTAACACTTCCAAATCTATATTTCCTGCTATCGATCCAGAGCTTGTAATTATTGTAACAATGGATTAGTAAGAGAAAAGTATTTTCATCAGAAATTTTCTGGGAAGGAATTGAGTTACTGTCAGCAAACAAAGCAAATCTTTTGAACATGCTTCCATGTTCAATGCTTCCATGTTCATGTAATGCAAAACTTTATCCAGAGAATTTCCTCCTGACTATGGATCAAAATAACATCTGCATTCTTTTTCTACAGCCCTCATTTTGAAGGAGTCCTAATAGTGAGATGCCAACCTTATATAAAAATCCGCAAGCCTCCAAGCCTCTGGCATGGTGTAGGAGCCAGAAGTGGTCTGGCACACCAGGTGCCCTCCTGCAGATAGAGTCAGGCTGTACACCATTTTCAGTGCTGCCTGAGATGGTTAAAATCCTTCCAGTAAAACCATCTCACCCACTCATTTATAATACTAATAAATAAATGAGAAATCTGTGGCTTTGTCAAACACACTGGCTAAAAAAACCAGTGACCCAAAGTAGTGCTGGCCACAGGGAACGGTGCACAGGAGACTGGAAAGATTTCATTGTCATTGAAGAGGTCTGAAAAGTAACCTGAACCTGAAGATTCATTCCACAGAATAGATGGCTGCATTGGATAAACTTTGAATATGTATGCAGAATGGTAATGCAGAACATTCCTGCAAGACTGTGGGACTGAGAAGGATGAAAATTGATAGCACCAAAGAAAAACCTTCAAAGAAATCAGTGGGAAAGCAAAGCAACGCCAACAAGCAGTTGGGAGAGTCAGGGAAAGATTCAATAGTTGAAACAGAACGGATTTTGTCCTGCACATGAACACTGATAATAAAAGACTGAAAGAAATCAGCAGATTAATGTTTTCAGGATTTGCATTGGGGCTCTTGATTTAGCAGTCTCCTCCTTGCAGATAACTGGAAGCAGACCATTAGTGAGTGCAGGAGAAATCAATGACTACAGCAGCGAGATGGAAGATCTCAACTTTCTCTCCCCCAAAGTGAGTGCAATAACACTGACCATTACAGATCACAGGCGGGTTGTGAAGCTTCATTAAAATCTGTACGACGCTTACTTTCAACATGCTTAGATTAACACTGCAACCAACATTCCCAAGGTCGAAGGAATATTAAGCATATTCAGTTTACCACTTGAAAACCCCCAACAACAGTGTTGCAAGTTGTCACTCCTCTGGTGCCTTTGCACATTGCACCGAAGCCATCAGACAAGCCACCCGGCCCTTTTGCAATACCAAGCCAACCGTAAACCAAAAACAAATCAGTCTTTTACCATCTCTCAGAGCTCCCAAGAGTCCTCATAGCCCGCGTGATTTCAGGCTGTATACTAGAAAACCAGGACAGTGGATTTCTACCTGTCTTTTCTCTGCTTTGGCTTCCATAATTCCTCTTTCCCAACTCCTAGCAAGATCCTGTTGCTGATTTTAGGTTCTTCTAGTCCCAAACAAAGGAGGATGACATCTCATACAAAAACAAACCTCTACTCCCTTAGACCAGCTTCTAAGTCAGTATTCTCTCTTGGTCCTTGGCTAACCATGACGTCCCAATGCTCCTCTGTACAGTGTGTCATCTCAGGTAGGGTACTGCAATAACATCATCAGCCAAAACCTTCTCAGGAAGAAAAACTTTTCAGAACCATTTGCCACTCCTTAATGAGAGGAAACTCATAGTGAAGACTTTGCTTTCAGTTGCCTTGCATTATGCAATTTTTGTTTAATCCAGAACCAGAGATAACAGTGGTGCCCATACTGTTACCACAAAGGATTTGTTGTTTATTAAGGATTTGACAAAGGTTTGGCTTATAACGGCCACTCACGGTTCCCTTTGGTCTCATAAGTATAACTCTGTGCAAGTGCACTACAGATAACCTCTTCTGGAAAATAACTACTTGGGCAGCTGGAATTTGCTATGATGTCATCAGGAAACTACTGTTACAATAATCCACTCCTGATGGCAAAAACAGTTCCTACTACTTTTATGCAATATAAAGCATCCTGCAACACACCACTCTATTTTAGCAGGTGTGACTTTAATTAAAGTTGAAAAATAAAACATCTGACCTGACATTAACAGAAGTCTTTCATTTTTACATGGGTGATACTGTATTAATCCTCTGTTTTCATTAAACAGGAGGTGGTAAAATGCACTTCAATGCTGCTATAATAACAGTGGATCACAAAAACACTATAAAGAGCATTTATAAACATTCCACTTGTATGGGCCTTTATAAAAAAACTAAAGCTTTTATGAGAATGCTGAAATATCAAGGAGAATTCTCTTTCATAATAAAAAACATAATAAGAAATTCAATGACTTCTATGACATTGAATGACTCAAATGTTTACAGTAGCAGTTTTGTTTTACCCTTCGAGAAATTTGAGGCTTTGGGTCACAGAATCACACAATGACCCGGGTTGGAAGGGACCTCAAGGATGATGAACCTCCAAACTCCCACCACAAGCAGGGTCACCAACCTCCTCATTTAATACTAGACCAGGCTGCCCAGGGCCCCATCCAATCTGGCCTTGGACACCTCCAGGGATGGGGATCCACAAC